GCCGGGGACGCCGGGGGCCCCACTGTTTACGTCACTGAGGGTGGACTCGCTGGAGTACGATAGGAAATCGATGCCGCGCTGCAACAAGTGCTTGCCAGTGGAGTCGTGGGCTGCGTCTCCCACGTGCCTCACTGACTTCCCCAGGCCCGACGTCTCCCTCACCAGGAAGGTACGCACGTGCCAACTTGAACTAGCCAACAGGCTCAGTTCACTAATTAATTGTACTTATGACCTATTAATGGCTAGGCTAGCAAACTATTATCGGCGTCGTATTTGTAACCGACTTTTGGAAACTTCTCTGGTATTAGTTCGTGTTTTTGATGGGGATTTTTATTGAAATCCAAACCGTAGTTATGACCCCGCATTAACTGGGATTTAGTATCTTGGAACTTTGAGCTTTGTGGGTACCCTGCAGTTGACCTTCCATTCGAAAAAAAAAAAAAAATACGTGATGATAAGTAGTAAATAATGGTAATTAAAAAAAAATAGATTCTGCAGCAGCTAATCACAATATAAAAAAATTATAAAATAACTATAGTTAAATATATATTTGTAGCTATCAAGTGAACTTGTATTTACAGTTACAACTGGAAATAAACACGATTCAATCTATCATTCGTAAATTAGAAGAACAGTAAAATAGAAATTCTTCAGAAACGAAATGGCCTAATACTGCCTTGCCCTGTCTCTCTGTCATATTGTTGGAATTTACCACGGCCACGCGTCAACGGACTTCAGTATATTACTCTTTTGATTATATTTCTAAACGAAAATTTTAGTATTATTCCAATCTAGGTGAGATGAGCAAAGGCGGCATTAGGTGGACATCAAGGTTCGTTAGTTTCTTGCTCTCGCTGGAAATGCATTATAATAGTGTGACATAGCTGTGAGAACCTTGGTTTCATTTAAGTTATCTAAATGACGTAGCCCTCTTTGTTTATGGCAGTTTGTTAGCCGGAGGTGACAATTTGTACAATTAATTTGTTGTCTAAAAATCTATAATAAGAGATGACCCAGTTTGGACGGTTACTAGTTCACCCTTGATTGCATTTCTCAGCCTCCAATCAAATCAACCGCGTCACTTTTTGTTCTTTTGGGGTCAGCTCTTGTGGCTCTTTGCTGGCCCCCTCTCTGAGGTTTAAGCATTTTAATATCTGGAAGTCACCTCTGATACGTATGAGAATTTCAAACCGGCAACCGGTACGCTGAAAATATAGAAACTACAAGTGGCCACCTAAAAATTTTTGACTGTGAAGAAAACACCCTAGAAGTTTCAAAATTTTCTAAAAGCCCCCTCAAAAATTGAAATTACAAAAGTCATCTCTGTGTAATTTTTTTACCTTTTCATCGCGTTTCTTGTAAATGGAAAAAATCCTTCTGCGTGTTTTTCGCAACTTTTGAAAGTTTTGGTTGTTTTTTGAAAATTCCAAAATTTTCGAGGGGCTATTTGTAATCCTGTATTTTTCAATTTACTATTTGTATGTTAAAATTTTTCAGCTATTTTCTAGAAATTTTGCAATTTTAGGGTGTTTTTTGCAACTTTGAAAATTTCAGGGTGTTTTTTGCAAATAAGAAATTGCAGGGGCTACTATATGTAATTCTAACATTTTTCAGTGTACTGCATTTGGTTTGATGTTTTCAGGCTCTTTTTGCAAAGTTTGAATTTTTAGAGTGTTTTTGTATGTTTTAAAAGTTTTAGGGTGTTATATGAAAATCCAAAAAACTTTGAGGGGGCTAGTTGTAATTCCAAGATTTTCAGTATACTATTTTTAGGTTTGAATATTCACATAGTCTGCTGTAAATTTTGAATTTTTGAGGGTGTTTATTGCAACTTTGAAACTTTACTGCGTTTTCTGCAAATTTTAAAATTTAGGAGGTTTTTTTAATTCATAGATTTTCAATGTTCTCTTTTAGAATTGAAACTTTCAAGCTCTTTGTATAACTTTTAAATTTCTGAGGGTGTTTTTATTCTATTTTAAAAGATTCAAGTTGTTTTCTGCAGAATTGAAAATTTTTAGGGGTTGTTTGTAATTCTTATTTTTTTAGTTTATTAGTTTACGTTTGAAATTTCCATTTTTTGTAAATTTAGAATTTTTATGGTTTTTTGCAAGTTTTTAAAGTTTTAGGGTATTGTATACAAATTCCAAACTTTTAGGGCTGTCTGTATTTCCCTAATTTACATTGTAATGTTTTAGATTTGAAAGTTTCAATTTATTCTTTTAATTTGATTTTTGAGGGTGTTTTTGTAATTTTTAAAATTTCTGGGTGTTTTCTATAAATTTTAAAATTTTCAGGGGGCTTCTATATTGTTTGAAAATTTCAATGTCACTTGAATGTTTTGAATTTTTAGGGTGTTTTTACAATTTTTGAATTTTTGAGGGTTTTTTGGAATTGTTGGGTGGCTGTTTGTAATCGTCTATTTACAAGGGGATATTTGTATTTCTTTTATTTTAGGGGCTTTTTGGTAAGTTTCGAAACTTTTTTTTGTTAGTTATTTATAATTGCACATGCTTAATTGAATCAAGCCTAAACTCAGCCCCCCTTACCTCTTAACCCCCCCCTCCTATCCTACCCCTTCACTTAGTAAGGTTTATCCTTAAACTTTTAACCTTGGTGGAATGTTAACATTATAACAAACATGGTTAAAGTTATGAGTAAGTTTACAAGGGTAAAGTTTAACCCCTTTACCCTTGTACCAAAGAATTCCTAATAAGTGCGAACTATTTTAAGTGGGGAGCTTTGCTACATGGATCCAAAATATGAGACCAATAGAGAGGACAAGTGAGGTGTTCCCTTCCTATTGGATAATGAGTTGACTATCATTAATGATGACCAACTCATTATCCAATAGGAGGGGGACACCTTACTTGTCCCCTCTATTGGTCCCATATTTTAGGTCCTTGAGGAATTTTTCTTAAGTGGGTATCATCTCTTACCTTGTATTGGAAAGACGCATTCATCTTAAATTATTTGTAAGAATTTCAGAAGAAATTCCTCCAACCAACAACTTCATATTTATTTTCTACTTCCTCACCATATCCTTTAAAATAATAACAATAATGTAAGAGATAACTTCATTGGCTCTGATGTATTCAAAAGTCAATAAGAGATGAGGCTCTTGGCTGTTTTGCTGTTCTCAAAGTCAAATGTATGGTGTCGCTCAATGCTGCTTACATAAAATAATACATTAGGCGACGAGATGTTAATGAAGGAGACAAGAAAACTAATTAATATATAGTTTTGGTGGGCACCTAGCCTTCAATAGGGTGTAGAAAACAAATAAAATTGGTTCACGGATTTTTTAATTTTTTGGGTAAAGTTCTGGGTCTGACATTTATTAATAGTAATATAGGTTCCTTGGGTTATAATCTATGTATAATTAGGTCCAAAATGTCCTTCCACATTTCTCCTTCTATCACTATTTCTAAAGACTTGCTATTTTTACATTGCACCAAAAAAAAATGGAAGCATAAATATATCTTGCTATCAAACTAGAAATTTCGAGACCTAAAAGAAATCCATGAGTACAGAGGTTTTTTGTTTTCTTTAAAATTTTTTTTCTAATTGTTGCATATCTTGTTCTTATTCCACTTCTCATTATATGCACATAATTCAGTGGGAAAAAATCAGAATCTTTTGATATTCTGGCATGGATGATTTGAGCTGCAAATACCATAGACCCATGTACAACTAATTAACTAAGCAATGCCAGCAAAAGATAGTTGTAGACAGAATAATCTGCACCTAAGCATGCCTACCTGCT